GCTTATGCTAATGAAGCCCGGGAAATTCAAATCCCGGGCTTCATTAGCAAGTGCGGTATGCCTACATTACCCTCCTAGTTCGAACTAGGAGGGTAGTGTAGACATACCCTTATTACTGAGAGTGAGACAGGACCAACTGATCAATTAAATAGGTCTGAAATGGAGATTGCTTTTTTTTGAACTCATGGACCTTTACGAACCCATAATTATCGAAACAGAAAGAGATAGCAATTGTATCAGAAATATTCTCAGAGTTCTTAGCCACTCTACCCTCCTAGTTCGAACTAGGAGGGTAGTGTAGACATACCCTTATTACTGAGAGTGAGACAGGACCAACTGATCAATTAAATAGGTCTGAAATGGAGATTGCTTTTTTTTGAACTCATGGACCTTTACGAACCCATAATTATCGAAACAGAAAGAGATAGCAATTGTATCAGAAATATTCTCAGAGTTCTTAGCCACTCCGTCTTCACACAGTACAGGCAGTCGGGACTGTAGGTTTGTTCTTAAGTTGAATTTGTATGTAAGTCGGAACTGGTACATATTTTGGGGAGGGACGGGGAGCTGGAGTTAGGTGGAAAAGACCCTGATTCTCATACAACTTCCTTATTCTAAGAAAAACACATACTGTTTTGATATGAAGGTTTTTTCGGTTGATATTTTAATTAAAAATTGATCATAAGTTTCAGTGTTTCATGCTATATCCAAATCTTCCTTTTGGGGTACCTGAAAGATCCCAGTTATTCATTTAATAGTCAGAATCTTTGTTTTTTATAACTAAAAAAGGTTTATTAGGGGTGGTGCTGCTCTAGTTCCTGTGATCCCTAGGTGGAAGTTGGTTGTGTGCTGCTATTGTGCCTGCAGGCACCGCCCCTGCAGCTCCCATTGGTCCCAGGTCCTGTCCAATGGCAGCTGACACCACATGGAGCCCAAAAAGACCTGATGGCTGCTTCCAGGAATCATGCAGAGCTAAGTGAGTAAAGGAGTCTGTGTTGAGCCCAGAAACCTCCTGTGCCACCAACTGGATTTTTAACTGCCTGCTCAGTGGTGCAGACTGAAGCTCCCTGGATTCCTTTTTTGATCAGATACCGCCATACCTCCGGCTATGCTAACTGGGAAGAATGGAGAACAGGATTGTTCCTTTGTAAGTGGAGCACTTTACATTTGTCATTATTAAACTTCATTCTATTTACCTCAGACTGATTCTCTAGATCATTTTGAATTGACCTTATCCTCCAAAGCAGTTGCAGCCTCTCCCAGCTTGATATCATCTGCAAACTTAAGTGTCCTCTATGCCAATATCTAAATCATTAAGTGTGATCAGAACTGGTCCCAAAACAGACCCCCTGTGGAGCCCCACTTGTTATACCCTTCCAGCATGATTCAACTGTTAATAACTAATACAGGCAGTCCCCGAGTTCCTCGGATCCGACTTATGTCAGATTTGCAATTACAAACGGGGATTTTCTCGCCTAAGAACGGGGTCTCGCCCCCTGCTTTCTCCAGGGTGAGAAAAACTGCTCCGCGTCTCCCTGGTCTGCTGGGGGGAAGCCCCCCCCCGTGCCGCCGGAGGCGGCGACAGTGGGGGAGGCACCTCGCACTGGCTGCGCGCCCCCCCTCATTTGTAACTAGGGATCCGACGTAAGTCAGATTGATGTAACCCGGGGACTGCCTGTATTTATAATCAGGTGTCTTTATAATGATTCCATGTGGGTTTCTTATTCATTCGCTCTCAATAATTCCATAACAAATTTGTGTAATTTACTAATCAAGAGATGATTTTCTAATCTAGGATTTAAAAATACAACTGTGCTCTTCTTGGTTTTTACATAGTCATCAATAGTCTGAGCTTACAATTTAGCTGACAATATTTATGATGATACATGAGACAGAACAAACCTGAGCTTGTTTACCCATAGCTATACTCGCCCTAAAATACTAAGAAGACTATTTTTATTGATTTGTGTTACAATAGCACTTGAAGACCATAATTGAGAACCAGAACCTATCTTGCTAAAGCCAGGTCTATACTAGCGGAGAAAATCAATGCAAGATACGCAACTCCAGCTATGTGTATTGCTTAGCTGGAGTCGACGTACCTTACATCGATTTTCTGCAGTGGCCCCACAGTGGGAGGTCCATGGGAGAGTTTCTCCCATCGACTCCCCTTATTTCTTGCGACTGTGAGGAGTGTCATGGTCGATTGGGGGTGGTGGTCATCAGCATTTGATTTAGTGGGTCCTTACCAGACCCACTAAATCAAATGGTGGAAGACTGTCCTCTGGAGCATCCATCTTCCTGGAAGTGTAGATGTGCTCTTAGTGCTGCAAAAATACTTAGTGCTGCACTACAGAGCTTATATTTCTGAACAGCCACGACAAGCAAGGTGTGGTAGAGGAAACAGAGGTACCAAGAGAGAAACAACTGGCCAAGGATCATATGATAGAGTTTGGAAGAGATTTCTTGACTCCTAGTTCAGTGCCCATTAGCCCTCACTGCAGTAAAAGCTTGTTGGTGTCAGTAAAGTAGGCAGACAGAACTCAAAGATACAAGGTGAACAGATAGGTTTAGTAAAGATGTGCCATTTTTACAGTGCTTTTTCAAACTATAACTAGTGCGTGAATTAATGCTGAGGCAATCCTGCAGAACATCTGAGTAGATTTTGCAGTAAATATCCAATTCTGACTCACTGTCAAACCATGAACACTGTTCTCAACTGAACCCAGGTTATAATTCTTTCTAAATAGTGCAGAACTCAGCACACATGGCAGGGCTGAATTTCAGTGGCATTTGTATCTATCATTCATGGGGTTTTAGACATCAACCACATCTGACTCAGCACAGAAAAGAATGTACACATGGAGAACAATCAAAGAGTTTGTGCTTACCCAACATACACAAAGGCTTTCTGGCAAATTTGAGCCTCCCCCTCCATCCTTTATAGCGACAGCAACACCCAGCAGCCCAGATTCTTAAGGCAAATTCTGCTCCAAAGATGAAAATGGCAAATGTTTCCTGTATCAAAAACACAAACTATATTCTTAGACACATAACAAGTCTTGCAATAATTCTGGACTTGCAGCACTGGCTGGATCAGACGTGTGTATGTCTATATATACATACATAAATACACATACATATAAAAAATATGATTTTCAAAAACCTCAGCACCTCCCATTGTTCTCAATGGAGAGGGGGAATTCTCCATTGTTTTCCGAAGTAGTAGTTAGCTGCTGAGTGCTTCTGAAAATGTGTCCATTTCATTTAGGTCCCTAGATGAGAGCTAAGCTCTTTTGAAAATCTGACCCTGAATGTCCTTGTAGTCTATGTACAAATGATTTGGGGCTTTTGAAATGTATACAGATAGACCTGAGCTGGAAAATTGGAATCTGGAATGAGATTCATATTTACTAATTTTTGGGTACATTTGGAGCCAGAGTTTTGATTTAGACCCATCTCTGAGATAATCAGTCCAATAAGCGCTCCTCCTAATTTCTCAGAGGCATTTACGATCATGCCTGTAAGACACTGGTAAGCTAATTTTAAAATCAAATCTCTTTTCTAGTCTTAATACAGCATGTCCAATTTTGCTTTAGCTGGCTGAAATAACTTGGGGTTGAGTCACTGGAGATAGTGTCATTGTGTTAAAGGGCTAACTCCTCAGTTACTCCACCCCATAAGATGGCCTTACTTGGGGGCTGCTCTAACTTTCACAGATGGTTAATTGTCACTGAAGGGTGGGCATGATGGCCAAAGCACATCTCCCTTCACCTCCACCAGACAGGTCCATTTCTATGAAGATTCACTACAAGGAATCTTCCTAAATCCTAATGCAGCAAAAAGGAAAATCTCTTAGGGTATGTCTGCACTAGCTCGTTAATTCGAGCTAGGTAGGCAAATCAGGGAACCGGGGTTGAAAATGAAGCCTGGGATTTAAATATCCCGGGCTTTATTTGCATGTTCCCGTCCTGCCGCCATTTTTAAATCCCCCTTAGTCCGAACGAACTGCCCGCGGCTACAGGCGGCAGTTTAAAGTTAATCCGAACTAAGTCCTTAGTTAGTTAAGTCCTTAGTTAGATAATCCAAACTAACTGTTACTCCTCATAGAAAAAAAAGTCACAGCTCATTTTAATCCCCAGCTAAAGAGCAGAGTCCTGACTTCCCACCAAACCTAGGGGCCAACTCCCCCTCCCACGGCACTCGGAAATCCCTGCGCTCAACTCACCCCTCCTGAAGCACACAGAAGCCATTGCACTCCTCTGGGGCCGACGCCCCCTCCCGCAGTGCGCCCAGCACGCCAGCACACTTCCAGATTTAGGGCACGGGGCCTTTTTAGGCGCAGGGTCCAATTCGGGGGAATCGGGCAAATCGGCCTGAAGCCGGCCCTGCGTGTGGGCGTTGAGGGTTGGGTGGGCTTGAGAATACGGTCTGCCACATTGTTCTTTCCAGTGCACTCATTCAATACCTACTAGTGCAAGTCTGTCCACCCGGGCTGAGCGGCTGCAGTCTAGACATACCCCTGGGGCTGGATTTTAAGAAGTGCTTAGCTTCAGCCGAGCTCTGCTTGCACTAAAGCCAATGGGAATTTTACTAGTTACTTCACTGGGTGCAGAATTAGGCTACCATTGAACAGGTATTACTGAAAATCCCACCCTGAAATTATAGGACCAGAAATTTCCTCCCCCATTCACTATTTTCTTCTATTTCCGGTGTTATTATAATCTACCAAGTGATGCACAAAAATACAGTCACTGCTTGAAAACCAGCTGCTTGCTGCACATAGGTGACTAAATCAGACTGCGTGATGGGGTATGCTGACTCTCCACTGAGCCCACAAGGGGTCATGAGCTGCTGTGGGCCCATGCAGCCCTGTCCCCCTCCCCCACATCGATAATTCCTGTCAGGTAATGAAGGGGCAGTTAAAAGGAGAGGAGGAAAGCTCATTTGCTGGATAGTCAGGAGGAGAACAGATCTCCTACCCTTTGCTCCTTGAGGAAAAGGAACAGCCTGGGACTTTTGTGAAGGCCGTAGACTGCCAGAACCCACTGGCTCAAAACTACAGTTTACTTTTCTTTGCCTGTCTATAAACCAGCTACTGGCCCAGGCTGAGCTGCTGAGGAGACACATGGGCTTAGAAAGCCTGTTGAAGAACTCCAGCCTAGGAGGGATGTGGGGTAAACTACAGGGACTTCTTGCACCCGGCACGAGCCTTCCCTTCAGTGTGTCTGGGACCCTGAAGAGTGCGTGGTCACCAACGGTAATCAGTTTTCATTACTGCTGAATTCAATCCAAAAACGTTAACAACTCGACATTGCAATGCCAGTCTACTTACCAACAGCAGCAGCCAGTCTCCTGAAACTGTTTCATATTCCTTGAACGTTGTTAGGATGGCTAAGATCAAACACCCCAGAACGATGAGAAATCTGGATTAACACAAAAGGAGAAATGGGGCATCCTTACTACTGCATCCACTTAAAAAGAGATGGTCTAAAAAACCCTATAGAGGTCCAAAAGGAGGTCACCATCCATGATTGGAGTGAGATGAAATGTTACCGGGATGAAGGGTTCTGAGCCTCAGGGAATTACAAGCAGTGTTGGGATCAAAACTATACTGCTCTTCCCATAATGTTAAGTGGGAAAAGGGCCCTGGCTTATTCCCAGAGTACTGGGGTCCTGGTATGGAAAAAGGGTTCACAGTATGGGAAAAGGGAAGATACTTATGCAGTCACTGACTCTGACCCATCAGACCAGAAGTTCTATGGAGGGAGCATAGCATCTCAATGAGATGTTCCATTTATGGGTATTACTGCCTATGTAAGGATTTAACTTATCATTACTAATAAAATGGCATTGCAGTAACGATAAAGCAAATCCACTTGGCATGTATTGAAAGCCAAGAGACATTAAATTAACATTTCTGCGCAATTAACATTTTGGCACCAATACTATCATCTACTGCTTTTCATCAGCAGATCGCAAAGAACTTTACAAAGAAGGTCAACAGCCCAGGAAGACATTAATAATTCACAAAACCTTGCTTACACTGAAAACTTTATTGCTTTTTTTTTAAAGTAATGCAGGCTATGTCTACACTATAAAGAAAAGTCGGAAAAATATACGCAAATTGCGAACGTGCGTATCTTTTTCCACTTTTATTTTGGAAGAGGTTTTTCTGAAATTTGGCGTGTCTACACGGTGCCAAATTTTGGAAAAACCTCCTCTTTCAGCACAACCCTTCTTCCTCGTACAAAGAAAAATTTTCCACAAATGTGGATGTGCTCCTTGGACGCAGCATAGCTTTTCCAGGAAAATAGCTGCAGTGTAGATGTAGCCACAGATATGCTGGAGTATGTACTCCACCTAGGCGCTGGAAGGGTTGATACAGGCCTAAAAGGCCAATTATGCTAACTGGTTGTACCTGGAGGGTGGGGGAATGCTTAATTATTATGAAGCCTAGCTGCAGGAGAAGCTGGGTTGTTAATATAAATAGAGCAAGTTGAGAGAAGAAAGGGACTGGATTTTCACTGAAAGAATGGGGGAAGTATGGAACCAAAATTTCTATGCAGAGACAATTCAGGTAGTTTACAATTTTACATTCTTAGGATTTATGGTTGATTAACTTGGAAGGGTCGTATAGTTAATATCAAGAGTAAATGTATAAAAAGCATAAATCTGCCTCAAAGTATTGTTGGGAACAATACTCACTGACAACAACAACAACAACAACTCACTGACGATGCTGAAAAGGGCACGAATATGGATACCAAACCTTCACTTCAGCCTCAAAATCAACAATTAAAAAAATTGAACGTCTGTCTCCAAACCCAAGTTTGGATCACATGTGGTACCACTATATAGTGTAGACGTGGCCAAGTATAGTGTAGACATGGCCAGTGAATAAGGGTACTAAATAAATATGTAAGGACTGTTGGGAATTAAGTAGACAAGATGTAACTGGATGCCAAATACTCCAACAGGCTAATGGTCAAAAGGTGGGGGGAAGGAAATGTGAATGAAAAGGAAGGACAAGAAGAGCTTGAAATCTTCAGCCAGGAGCAGTCAGATTACAACTGGACAGTTGTCTCACTATTTGTGGATTTGGAATTCTATAAAGACAGAGGAAAAAGCAGAACTGTAAAATATTACTGTGATGCTGACAAACCAGGTGACAGCTCATGACAATGTCCCAAGACCTCACTGAACACTGACAAATGCATAGTTTGAAACCAATGGGGCTCACCTGTGTGTTAGGGATATTGTAATCGATATTAGAGTTCTAATCCTGTGTTTAGACTTCATGGAATGCTTGTAGGATGCTTCATATATTAACCCTAATTGTAATATCTGTTCCTCATTGTAACACTGGACCCCGTATTCTTCACTGAGATATTAGTATGATATGATTATGACATACCTACGATGTATCTTATGCAAGATAGGTCATGTGAGATAATTAAAAAACATATGATTTACTGAATAGGATCGTCCTATCTGTATGCATGCAACATTTTTGCATCCAAAGTTAGGAATATTTACTCTATATCTGCATTACAAATGTGTTTATGCCTGGGGAATGACCATCAGGCAAAAGAATCTCTCTAGATAGCTCACTAAGAAGAAACGTATCTTCCTGAGGATGCTACTAACAGCCCTCTCATTATGGCTGCTACCACACTACAGAGACATATAACCAGCTCACCTGATACCAGACTCCATCTTGTGTGTGATATTAGTGTTTTTCCACAGACTGGTTTGGAAGCCAAGCTTTGAGACAAAGGATTCCCACCATATGCAAAAGCTATTTAAGGAAAGGGAGTGACATCATCATAGTTCTTCAATGACTCCCTACCAAAGAGACTACTGGAAACCCATGTTGAACAAAGACCGAACTGGGGAGCTGGACCCAGACTAAAGGGATTTTTAGCCTGTGAATGGAATATGTGGGGTTTCTAAGCTGTAAGGCAGCATACATTGCCCCTTAAGAATCTGTAGCCTGCTTGATACCATTTAGGGTGAGAATTTGCTATTCATAGCTGACGTATGTAGTATATTCGGTTTAGTTTGTGTGTTTTGTTTATTTGCTAGGCAATCTGCTTTGATCTGTTTGCTAACTCTTATAGTCACTTAAAATCCATCTTTGTACTTATTTTTGCTTTGTCTAAACCAGTGTATGGGAGTCATAACTCAGAGCAGAAAGCTGTTGTATATTCCTTTCCACAATGCCAGTCAGTGAATTGCATGAGCTTACACTGTACAGCTCCCTGTGCAGCACAAGACAGTGTAATTTTGGGCTTACACTTGAGTCCAGAGAGGAAGTGTGCCTGCATGCTGGGAAGTTCCACAGGTAGAGCCTTTCCATGCAGATCTGCTCAATGTCTGTCTGTACTGCAGTGTCATTTTTGGTGTAAGTGACTATCTATCACATAATCAAGATTGGCTGGGAGGTAAGATAGACTGGAATGCCCAAGGGAACTGTCTGTAATGCCACATTAAGAACATTATAGTACTTCAGGAGTTTACACTTGTTACTTGGTTGGGGAAATGTAATTATACAACATACACCCAGTTTGGGGTTTCTGTCCTGCCTTCTAATAATCTGGCCTGAGGTTAGCATTCATAGTCATGCACCACTCCAGACAGCATGACAATGGTGAATAGCATTTAGGAGTTTATACATGAAAAGTGGGGTCAGCACTGTCAAATCTATATTGACAAACCTAAAGATGACAACATTGGTAGTGTGGGAATGGCCTTTTGTATCCCTGAATCTACAATTAAGAGATCTATGGCATTATCTAATTTGGTGGCCATTATGATGGTCGAATACATGGGTGCTCTGTTGGCACCTACTTGGCTAAGGTATGTATACCCTAATATAGCTGCTATCACACCTGACTCTTTACTGAGTACAACCCCAATCAGTAAGGGAAACTCTGAAAGCAGGTGTGACAGTGAAATATTGTGCTTAACTATGGAGCTAGTGAAAAGAGAACAAAAGGACAAAGGTTCTGTCAAATAAGTGCTAGACTTGAGGATAGGGTTTATACAGAAGAAGCACACTGCCTATATTTAGAATGTCAACAGGTCACTGTGGCCTAAATGGTAATTTATGTCTACTAAACACACACAAAGATAGATTGTGTGAAACATGCAAGGTTAAAGAAACAGTTGACTATCTGCTGTGGCAATTCAGGGAGAATTATTCATAAAGTGAGACCGGAGATGCGTCCAAGTGAAAGAACACAGTCTGAATGGACTGGTGAGAGAACAGGGAAAGTGAGGTAGCATTAAAAACATTACTGTGCATTTCTAAGGAGACAGGACAGGGTGGGAGGACATAAGCTATTTGGTTATATGAAAACTGTGGCAAGTGGCATCATAACCTCACATGCTGAAGCTGCTGAGCCATAAAGTGACAGGAAAGGGAAAAAAATAAAGGGACTGAAGTCAGGAGAGAAAGGATCTTTACTGTGACTAGGGATGTTGTTGTGGGGAGGAAATCCAGGGGGAGAAGCCCTGAATAGAAGAGGCTGGCACAGGGGGAGACATAAAGCAGCCACTCTGATGAAGAAGGCAGCTCTGGTGGTATGCACTGAAAGAAGGGCAGGGTTTGGACATCCAGGGAGAGAGTGCTGGTAAATGTTCAGTTAAGGAGCAAAGCAGGGGAAACAGCAGCAGAGAGAGGGGAGAAAGGGCCAGTCTGGGAAAGTTGGAAGTTGGTTTAAGTTGGTATTTTTAGCTGGATTCAGTTGGGGGATTCTAAGCAGAACCTTGTGAGACCTGGCATGAGACAAAGGGGAAACTAGAGGTTGTGGGGAGAATACTTGAGAAAAATTGGGTAGGAAGAAGTCTAGCAAGGCAATAGCAAGGAATTTTGTGGAGCAGACCTTGGCTGCTGGTTAGAGACCCTAGGTTGGAACCTAGTGTATGGGGAAGACCTGGGTTCCCTTACCAGTTAATCAAGAAAGTGATGTGAATTCCTCCCCATGACACCTGCAAATGATCTGGACCAAGGTCTCTTCTCCTCTCTTTTAATTTACTAAGATAAACATTTAATGATTGATATTGAAAATATTCAAGACAAAATACTTTTGCAGAAAGCTTTTATTTGGAGCCCTGCCCTGCACGAGCGCTGAAGTCAACAGAAGTGCCAAAGAGGTTGCAGGGTTGAGGCCCAGGTTCTCTTAATGTACGGCTTAAAGATAAACAAGATATTTATATTCTATTTCCTTTAAAAGCCTTATCCACTGAGTAGTGTGTGGTTTGTTTTACCCACTAGAGAGCACCGACGTTCCACAGAGTGAAACAATACTGCTCTCTCCTGAAATTTCTCTCCATTAAAAAAAAAAATACCACCCTCATTCCAAATGTTCAGACTATGAAATCCACAGGCAAGCAGTGTAAAGGAAATGAAAGTCTCCCA